GAGCCACCAGCCATGGTGGCTGAGGCAGCTGGATCCCACATGGCCAAAAATGGTTCGAGTCCTGGACCCAACAACTTGAAAAACTCGCTGGGTTGGGACAAGCGGTTGGCAAAATGGCTATATCGCTGGACTCTGACCGCGGTTCGAGTCCCAGACCTGGTGGCTTACACTCACGCCAGGCACGTGTGTGCGTGTCCAAGATCCCAAGAGGAAAATGGAGAAGGGACTGCGGCCTGGCTGACCCCCTGGGGGTGATTTCTCGCTTTTTGTCTGTCTCTCTGGCAAGCACATGTGCCCTATAGCAAAAACCTCTCAAAAAAATAATAATAGAAAAAAGAAGAAAAACAAGCTGGGCATGTGTGCCCATCCCCCTTGGGGGGTGATTTTTCACTCCCTGTTTCTGTCCAGTGAGTGCATGTGCCCGTTAGCAAAAACAAACAAAAAATACCTAATTTTGGAATGTTTTGAGGATAAAAATGAGCTAATACATGATGAATCACTCAAAACCTCTAGCGATATAAAGTTTCTCTCCACTGGATTGAACTCCACGAGGGTCATGCCTCCCTCACCAAATCTCAAGAATGCAGTGCCAGAACCAGCAGGGGGCGTGGTGGTGAAGGCACTGGACTCCCACATAGCCAACCACAGTTGGAGCCCTGGACCTGGCAGCCTGCCTTCTCACTCCGTCTCTGGTGAGCGCAAGTGCCTCGCAGCAAATTATAAATAATGGACAATAAAGATAATTCTATTTAAAAAAAAAAAAAAAGCCTGTCTCATCTTGAATGTGCTGTATTTTGGGGTCCTTTTTGTTCTGGGGTTATGAGAACATAACCAAGGGCCAACTGTGAGACGAACCCTGTCCCCAATTCCAGGAACCCTCAAGGTTATAGCTCCATTTAGCTTGATGACAGCTCATCTGTCAACTAAGCCAGGCGACACGGACCTGCTTCTCCCCAACCACCTCACTCACAGGCATGGATGATGATATGCATACTTTATTCACTAACACGGGCCAAGGGAATGTAGTAAAGGGAAGGTGGGCACGGTTTCCAGGGACCCTGGTAGGGGCTTTTCCCGTCTCCCAGTTCCACGCCTGCCGTCCCACCCTTTCCCAGACCCGGGTGCCAGGGCGAGGAGGGAGGAGTCATCCAGGTTAACGCAGCCAAACAGGAGTCCCAGCGTGCCCCTCCCCGGCCGGACGCTCGCAGCCCCGCAGCGGCAGGAATGGCAGCTCAGCTGCCCTCGCACTCCGGGCAGCGCTCGGTGGCAGTGGTGGCCGAGGCGCCAGCGGGTAACTTGAAGTCCCGGCCACAGCCCGCGCAGATAAAGAGGCGGCGCCTCATGTGCGCGCGCCGATGGCGGATGAAGTGCGAGCTGAGACGGAAGCGGCGGCCGCACTCCGCGCACGGGTAGGGCCGCTCGCCCGTGTGCGTGCGTCGGTGGCGCGCCAGGCACGAACTGCCGCCGAATGCGCGTCCGCAGTCCGGGCACGCGTACGGCTTCTCGCCCGTGTGCACGCGCCTGTGCTTGGCCAGCGCCGAGCTCTGCGCGAAGCGCGTGCCGCAGTCGGCGCATGCGTACGGCCGCTCGCCCGTGTGCGTGCGTCGGTGGCGCGCCAGGCACGAACTGCCGCCGAATGCGCGTCCGCAGTCCGGGCACGCGTACGGCTTCTCGCCCGTGTGCACGCGCCTGTGCTTGGCCAGCGCCGAGCTCTGCGCGAAGCGCGTGCCGCAGTCGGCGCATGCGTACGGCCGCTCGCCCGTGTGCGTGCGTCGGTGGCGCGCCAGGCACGAACTGCCGCCGAATGCGCGTCCGCAGTCCGGGCACGCGTACGGCTTCTCGCCCGTGTGCACGCGCCTGTGCTTGGCCAGCGCCGAGCTCTGCGCGAAGCGCGTGCCGCAGTCGGCGCATGCGTACGGCCGCTCGCCCGTGTGCGTGCGTCGGTGGCGCGCCAGGCACGAACTGCCGCCGAATGCGCGTCCGCAGTCCGGGCACGCGTACGGCTTCTCGCCAGTGTGGCGCCGCCGGTGCTGCCGCAGGTTCGAGGCGGCGGAGAAGCGCTTGTCGCACTCTGGGCACTCGTAGGGCCGCTCGCCTGTGTGCGTGCGGCCGTGTTTGGTCAGCGCCGACTTCTGAGAGAAACGCCGGCCGCACACGGTGCACGCGAAGGGCCGTTCGCCTGTGTGCGTGCGTGAATGCTTGGCCAGCGTGGACCGCCGTGCAAAGGCGCGACCGCAGTCTGGGCACGCGTGGGGGCGCGCCGGGTCGACTGGCTGCGCTGGCGCCTCGGTCGGGACCTGTGGGGAGATGGGGGAAGAGGTCAGCCCTGACCGATAGACCCCGGAGCCAGAGCCCTGGTCTCTGCAAACTACAACTTCTCTGAACCTCAGTTTCCCATCTGTGAAAAAGGATAATCAATGGTGCCCTCTTTACAGGACGGTTGTGCACTTTAAATGAGATAATGCATGTAACACACATATCACAATGCCTCGTAGCATTCTATTTTTATCAAATCCAACAAATATTTATTGACCATGTGCAATGTGCTAGAGACTCTTTTAGGCACTGAGTATTCAGCATTAAATTTAAAAAGCATTTAGGAAATTCCTGCTTTCAGGAAGAGCAGATAAGGAGTGCTGGTATTGGGGGTTTGGTGCAAATTTAAACAGTTGTCAAGACATCTTAATGATATGAGCAAGGACCTAGAGGAGGTGAGGCTGCAAGATACATGGCTATCTCCCCAGAAGCACAATACAGAGGGAAATAGCAAGGTCCTGGGGCAGGAGGTCGGCTGTGGAAGGGTCAGAGCAGAATGCAGGACAGAGGAGAGTAATGGGGAGGGAGGGGGCTCGTGGAGGGGATCTCTGAGCTTAGAGCCTAAGGTCACACTAAGGACCTTGGCTTTTAACATGAACAAGATGGGTACCCATTACTGGGGCTGTCAGAAGGCTTTGAGCAGGTAAGTGACCAGATGAGACATGTTTTAAAAGGCTCCCCTGGCCTCCTGGGGACCACTGTGTCAGAGCCAATGAGCAAGAGAGGCAGAAGCGGAAGCCTGTGATCCCTATTACAGAGGTCTAGCAGAAGCCAGTGGCTCAGAGCCAAGTGACCAAAGTGGAAAGTGAATTGGTGAGAAGTGCTTCCGGAAACATTTTGCTGTTTGAGGCAACAGATTTAATAACAGACTAGCTATGGGTGCAAAGAAAGAGAGGGGCCAAAAAAACCTCCAGGTTTTTGAACTTAGGAACCGCAAAGGCGGAGCTGCCTTTCCCAGAGATGAAGGTGGTGGAGGAACCAGGTGAGGAGTGAGAGGCCTTTTGGACTGTATGGCCAACTCTCCAGCCATAGGCTGGAGATATTAAGAAGCTTCGATCTATAAATGGTTTTAAAAGCCTTGAGACCGGATGAGGTCACCCAAGGAATAGGCGGAGAAGAGAACCTAGAGCAGCCAGATGAAGACCAGCAAGCAACAAAGACAGGAGCAGCCAGTGCGGCAGGAGGTCCAGGGTGGCAGCGTGGAAGCCAGGCTAGGACCAGGTCCAGGCTCTTTGATATAGTTTTAAGAGCAAGCATCTATGTTTTGAGCTATGACAAAAAAAAAAAAAAAAAGGCAAGGGTAAAAGCTAAATGGTGTTAAGAGGCCTGAAGTGAAAAAAAATTGAGCCAGTTTCATGAGCTCTGGGCTTCTAGAAATACTATCAGAAAAAAGGAAAAGACATACTTTGTAAGACACAGGTAAAGGGAAAACAATCTGTACTAACAGTAGAGTGAAGAATATTGAGGTCATATGGCTCCCTTCTTAGATAACCACCCAGGGAGGCCAGAAAGTGGCGTGGTGGTTAAAGTACTGGACTCCCACGTGGCCGGTGTGGTTCAAGTCTCAGACTTGCCATCTTGCTTTCTCACTTTCTATGTCTCTCTCTCTCTGGTGAGTGCACATGCCCTGTAGCAAATAAAAAATAATGATGATGATGATGATGATAAAATTAAATAAATAATTCTTTAAAAGAAGAACGAAAAACTATTAAAAAATATTAAATAGGGACCAGCAGATGGCATAATGGTCATGTCGCTGGACTCTCATGTATACAGTCGACTGTGGTTAGAATCCCAGACCCAGCAGCCTAAAACTCATGCTGGGCGTGTGTTTGTGCGTGCCCAAGATCCTGAGAGGAGAATGGAGGAGAAGGGATTAAGGCATGGCCATGCCCGGGGAGGGGGTGGTGGTAGTGATTTCTGTGGGGTTTATTTTAATACATCAGCCATTGTGGAGATAACTTTTCTCATCAAATCTACATTTTTCTGGCCTTGTTTTGCTTGGCATCCTTCTTTAAGCTGACTTTGGCCAGTCTAAGGACTTTTTCATGCTGAGTTCACCAACTTAAGAAAAATAAATTGTGGGCGAGCAGGTAGCATGGTGGATAAGTGCTAGATCACACATGGCTGACTCTGTAGTTTGAGTCCCAGGCCTCGTAGCTTACAAAAAACACTGGGAGGGGCCAGCAGGTAGCATGGTGGTTAAAGACGCTGGATTCCCACATGGCCAACCATGGTTCAAGTCCTGGACCTGATGGCTTGTTTTCTCACTTTTCCTTTCTCTCTCTCTCTATTGTCAAAATTTAAAAAATAATAATAGGGCTGGCAGGTGACATGATGGTTAATGGTGCTGAAATCCCACATGGTTGACCGCAGTTCGAGTCCCGGGTCTGGCAACTTGCTTTCTTACTTTCCCTCTCTCACCTCTTACACACTCACTCACTCTGTTCCTCTCTGGTCAAATTAAAATAAATAGTTAAATAAAGTAATTTTTAAAATAAAATAAAATAAATAATTCTTTATAAGAAAAAGTTAGGGGAACCAGCAGTGAGCGTAATGGCTATGTCACTGGACTCCCACGTAGTCGACCGCGGTTCACGTCCCGAACCCGGTGGCTTAAAACTCACACCGGGCGCGTGTGCGTGCGTGCCCAAGATCCCAAGAGGAGAATGGAGGAGAAGGGATTGCGGCGTGACCATCCCCCTTGGGGGGTGATTTCTCGCTTTCTGTCTCTATGTCTCTCTCTGTCTGTTGGCGAGCGCACGCGCCCTACAGTGAAAATCTCTCCCCCCAAAAAAAAGAAAAAAGAAAAAGTTAGCATATAGGTATTTGCACTATAACAAGAAGATATAGTTGATATTCAATATGGTGTAATACTATGATAACCCAGGAATTTGAACTTAGTGATCTTCTTTCTGCCCAACTTTTAATTTTTTTTTTTTGATTTCCAGAAAGTATGTGCACAGAGAGACAGACGGGGAGAAAAAACACCCCCAATGGGGCATGGTCATGCCACAATCCTTTCTCCTTCATTCTCCATCCTGTCCCTACATGTGTATGTGGCATACGGGCACACATGTACATGTACTGGGGACATGTTTTTCAAGCCTTTGGGGCTGTGACTCAAACAGCAGTTAGGCCATATGAGATCTGGCTCTCTTTTTTTTGCCATAGGGCAGGGACCAGCAGATGGCATAACGGTTATATCGCTGGGCTCATGCATAGCTGACCACTGATCGAGTCTCAGACCCAGCAGCTTAAAATGCTCACTAGGTGCCAGGCGCTTGTGTGTGCGTGCCCAAGATCCCAAGAGGAGAATGGAGAGGGACTGCAGTGTGGCCATCTCCCCTGGGGGGTGATTTCTCTGGTCAAATCTCTTGTCTCCCACTGTCTTTCTGACAAGCGTACATGCCCTATAGCAAAAACCTTTCCAAAAAGAAAAGAAAACTCACACTAGGCACATGTGCATGGTTGCCCAAGATTTCAAGAGAATGGACTGTGGCATGGCCATCCCCCCAGGGGGTGGTTTCTCACTTCTGTCGCTCTCTACAGTGAGCACTCATGCTTCATAGTATAAGTCTCTTAAAAAGAAAAAAAAATTTGCTATCAGGAAAATGCACCTGCCAAAGACAGACACAGAGAGAAAGAGAGGGAGAGGGAGAGACTACCCCCTAGGGGTGGCCATGCAGCAATTTCTTCATTCTCCTCTCAGAATTTGGGGCATGTATGCACATGCGCCTGGCGTGGTTTTCAAGCTGCAGGGTCTGGGACTCAAACCACACCTTTGATCATGTGCCATCCAGGTGCCTTAATTTGTGCGCCACCTGCTGACCTGGGATCTGGCTGTCTTAAACATTAAGCTATAGGCTGGTCCTCTAGTTTTTTATTTTATTTTATTTTATTCTATTTTATTTATTGTCATAGGGTACGTATGTTTGTCAAAGAGAGACAGTGAAAGAGGAAGTAAGAAACCACCCTCCAGAAAGATGGCATGTCACAATTCCTTCTCCTTTATTCTCTTCATGGGATTTTGGGCATGCATGCATATATGCCCATTGTGATTATCAAGCCACCAGGTCAGGGACTTGAACCATGGTCAGCCATGTGGGAATCCAGCACTTTAACCATTATGCCACCTGCTGGTCCCACCTCAAGTATTTTTTTTTTCCTTTTTTGGAGAGGTTTTTGCTATAGGGAGCATGGGCTCGCCAGACAGACAGAGAGAGACAGAGAGACAGAAAGCGAGAAATCACCCCCCAGGGGGGATGGTCACGCCGCAATCCCTTCTCCTCCATTCTCCTCTCGGGTTCTTGGACATGCACGCACATGCACCCAGTGTGAGTTTAAGCCACCAGGTCCGGGACTTGAACCACGGTCGACTATGTGGGAGTCCAGCAACATAGCCATTACACTAACTGCTGGTCCCCGCCTCAAGTATTTTTTTAAATAGGACAAACAGTTCAGTTTCTTCCTCAGCAGTTACTTTTCTATTTAATAACAACTGCCTTTTATTGGTCACTTACTATGGGCCAGGAACTGTAGTAAATACTTTTTATCCATATTCTCATTTTAAATTCTCACATCTGTAGCTCTTTCCTTTTTATGGCTGAGCCCACTGAACACATATGCTGCAATTTATTTGTTCTTTCAATTGTTCATGGATATTTCCAGTTGTCTCCAATTTTAAATTATTGTAAATGGAGTTGCTATGATCATTCGTGTACAGGTCTTTGTAAGGACGTGTTTTCATTGTCTGGGTAAATGCTTAAAGGTGGAATTAAGTCATATGATAGGCATATGCCAATTTTTTTTTAATTAAACATGCATTTAAAGAATTATTTATTTAACTTTGTTATTATTATCATTTTAATTTGGCCAGGAAGAGACAAAGGGAAAGTGAGAAAGCAAGCCACCAGATCTGGGATTGGAATCACGGTTGGTCATGTGGGAGCCCAGCGCCTTAGCCACCCACCACCTGCCG